TGAGCATAGAGGCAGGGGGATGAATAGGCAGAGCACAGAGAACTTTTAGAGCAGTGACACTACCGTGTAGAGTCCAGTTAACAGTGGATAGATGGCAAGTTACACTTGGCAAAGCCATTGACCAGCCTACAAAAAGAGTGAACACCAATGTAAACCATGGACATAAGTTTCTGATTGTGTGTAGTTTCAGTTCATCCATGGTAACCTATGAGCCTCAATACAAAATGTTGATACAGGAATGGGGCCACTGCCAGGGTGAATGTCTTAATTGCTTTTCTTGTTGCTTAAACAAAATGCCCGATACCCAAAGTTAAAGGAGGAAAGATTTATTTAGCTTACAGTTTTAGAGGCTTCGGTCCATAATTAAGGCAAGGTGGCATACTCTAGATCTAGCCACCCCTGAGAAAGCCTCACCTACAATTGCATGGGGCTTTGGGGGAAGCTATAACATTCCAACTCTGCCCCCACCAAAGACTCATGCACATCCCTTTATGCAAAAGGCATTTAGTTTATCTGCAAGAGTTAGCAAAGTCCTAACAGTTTGGCACTGCTGAAAAATCCAAGTCCAAAGTTTCCTTTGAGATTTAAGGCAAATCTTAGCTGCAAGCCCCTGTACAAATGAAAAATAAACACTTCCAATATTCAGAGGAACAAGTTAGACATTTCCATTCCAATTTACAAACAAGGAGATAGCAAGCAATGGGAGCAAAGCAAAACCAAAATCCAGCAGGGCAGACATTAAATCCCACAGTTCCACTTCCGGCATTCCTGGAAATCTATGGCAAGTTGTGAACTCCAAAGAGCTTGGGTGGCTCTGCCACTATGGCACTGCTGGTGGTTGTAGCTCCCATGGTTTCTCTCTTGGGCCAGCTCGGCTCCCTCCTTGCAGTTTTCCACAGATGATCCAAGTTCCTGGTTTCTCTAAACTTCTGGGGTCTCCAATGCACTTCCGCTTCACACTCACAACTTCACACACTACCATCTCAGGGACACACTGCCTGACCTCCTAGGCCTTCTTCTGAAATCTGGGTGGAAGCCTTCCTGACCCAACAATGCTTACTCCACATGCACCTAAGACCAGCACCATGTGGAAGATGCTAAGGTCTGCTACCCCCTGGAATAGGAGCCAGGCTTCCTTCTCTGTTGGCTGTAGGGGTCAATGCTTATGAACCAAGTCCAGGGAACAACTTCCCTAGGCTGCTGGCATTCTGAAACATGCTGCTCTGGGGCTCTCTTCTCAAAGCAAAAACTTTCACCTTTGCAACTCTGAGGATGCAGAGGCTGGAGTCCTGTTGATTCTGGTGATATCCTCAGGTCATCTTTTCTTTTCTGTTGCCTTCTTCTAAAATACTCGGATTTTTTTTTTTTCAGTCTTTTTAGAGACCAATTTCTCCTCTCTTCAGTTTTGCAGGTCCCAACTTACTAGAGTTTCCTTTCTGGCCAAATTCAAAACATTTTAAATCATTATATTGGGCTCTTTGCTCTTGATTCTCAATGTAAATCTGGCTAAAAGCCCCCATCAGCAGCTATGCCTCAGCTCCAACATTAGGCTGTCTTGAAATTTCTTCTGCAAGATTAGTCTGCCTCCCTTAATCTCAGTCTCAGGCAAAGTCTCTGGACACGAGCAAAATACAAAGTTTCTACCAAGCCATAACACATCATCTGAAGTCCAACAGCCAGTGCTGTCCTTCTTCCCAGATAAAACCTCCTGAGCCTGGTCTTTACCAGCAGAACTTTTATCAGCATTCTGATCTCCTGAGCTCTGAGGAGAATCTTCCACCAAGTATAGCCTAAGGCATTTCAGCTGTATTTTTCAGGTGGCATCTCCAAGGCTTTCCTAACTCTTCCTTTTCCCACAGGCCAGATCCAAAGGCTCCTAAACCACATGGCTAAATACAGTCACAGCAACAACTCCATTCTCAGTACCAAAGTTAGTCTTAGCTACTTTTCTTGCTGAGACAAAATACCCAACACCCGAAATTAAAGGGGGAAAGATTTATTTAGCTAACTGTTTTAGAGGTTTCAGTCTATAACTGGCTAGCTCCAAGGTAGGGTGGCACACCAGACAGGCATTGCATGGTGGGCAAAAGGTAGTAAAACAACAAGTGATGACCACAGCTCTTTCTATCCCTTATATCTTAACCAGGCTACCCACCCTTGAGGTATATAGCATGCACATCCTTAATCCTAGTACCCTGATCCTAGCATTGCACCATGAATTGATCCCAGCATACACACTCTAGATCCAGTCACCCTGCAGAAGCCCCACCTATGACCACATGGGGCTTCGTGGGGACATCGAAACACAAGCCATAACAGTGCAGTATAGGGAGAATGTTAACAGGAAGTATATGGGAACTCCATATTTTCCACTCAATTTTTCTATGAATCTAAAACCACTCTAAAAAATAAAGTCTATTCATTTAAAAAATAAAAATACCCACCCTTACCCCTATGGCTCCTGCCCCACTTTTGTGCTCACTTGCACAGCAAAACTTCTTCACAGTTGCTGTCTTTCTGTACCTCTGGTTTTTATCTCAGCCAACAATCTCTTTTGGTATTCATTTCCTATTGCTGCTGTAAGTGATGATTACACCACAGTCTTCATTGTTTAAACAACATAAATTTATTATCTTAGAGCTTTGGAGGTCAGAGGTCCTAAAACCATGATCCTGTGTTTCTTGGTTCACAATCCCCATTGCCCTCTTAAAGCCAGCAGTGTAGCCTGTTCCTATGTCTGGCCTCCGCTTTCACCCTGATCTATAACAGAAAATGACCCCTTCCCCAGCCAGTAAACTTCAGTTTCTTAGTTGCCCAGGGAATACTTCCTGATGCAGTTCCAGTTGCTTCTGTCTCCTAGAAACATCTGGTCACTGATGCATAGCTGGTCACTATGATGCATGTTGTAAGAACCAACTCCCAATTGATAAGCCATTCTGCTTCTGTACTTCCTGCTTGTTTATCCCATATAAGCCATAAAGCACCAGAGATCAGGGCCTGATATTGTGCACTGCTTATTGGAAAGACTTTCTTTTCTTCATTGACTTTCCTGCTTTGTCAAAGATCAGTTGAATATATAAATGGTAATCAAAAGATATGATAGGTATTTAAATTTTTTTTAAAACTTACGACACTAAAAGTCGTACTGCCATTAATCACCCTCAAAATACTCCCCCCCCCACTGCATTCTGCACACATGTATCCCATTTTCCTTGCCCCTTTCTGAAGCAGTTTTGGAAGTCCCTTTTCTTGCATGTCTTTACTAGGTGTGATCAAAAATACGGTGAATGCTGCTGTCAAGTGCTATTTGATAGAAAAGCAGACTCATAAAATCACTGTGTCCTCATCCACCTTATTCACCAGACCTGGCACCATGCAACTTCTGGCTCTTCTCCAAAGTAAAAATGACCATGAAAGGGAAAAGTTTTGAATGGATTCAGGTAGTAGAGGTAGCCATGACAGCTCAGTTGAAGACACTCACAAAAGAGGACTTTCAGAACTGTTTCAGAAAGTGGCAAGAAAGGTGAGTTAAGCATCTTTGAAGCAAGAAGAAGTATTTTGAGGGGGACTAATGGCAATGTGTCTTTGACTGTAATAAATTTTTAAAATATTCACCACATTCTTTGATCATACCTCATATTTGTGTGGATATATTTGAATTCTCTATTCTATTTCATTGATATCTGTCCAAGCTAATAAGCATAGTTAACACTTTGATACATTTCTGTTTTTAATATGTATTCATATACAAATGTTCATGCAGAGGCTATCTCTGCAACTTCTCTAAAACTGTAGTTGAGCTAGATTGTGTCACATGCCTATAATCTTGCACTATGGGAAGCTGAGGCAGGAAGATGACAAACTGAGCCTATCCTGGCAACTTAGTGACTTAGCAAGACCTTGTCTCATAATAAAAAATAAAAAGGGCTGGGGATGGAGCTCAGTGTGAAGGCCCTTGGTTCATCCCTAGTAACCGGCTTGGGTGGGGGGTCCTGAGCTATAAATATTTCCCATGTTGGATGTCGTCTGTAAGGAAGCAGAATGCATGAGTTCCCTTCAGATCTAATGGGCCCTGTGGGAATTCTGCCGGGTAACACTAGAGGCAAGGCTGTGATGCTTCTGATGATCACCCCTGTGCCTAGCCTATAAAAGAACATCTGCAAATGTTAGACTCGCGGATTAAAATGTTCCCTTCTTTCCATGCATACAAAAAACATGGAACACCCTCCTCTTCACTTTCCTGAGAGACCAGGAAAGTGAAAATGGGATTGGAATGGCCAGCATGCTTGGTGCATTTTCTCCCTTTACTTAAAAAGATTTTAACATTTCTGTGTTAGTACCATTAACGTTCAGAATATACATACATTTTACTGAAACTTATTTAATTCTGTTTTGGGAGTTTCCCGGGTTCAGTCAATAGACAAGCATACTAAGACTTATCTCTTCCCTCTCTGCTCACTCTGAAGCAGGTCGATTAGCCTGACTGGGGTGGGGTAGGAGTGAGAAGGACAGACTGCCGCGGAGTGGGATGAGGGATGTTCTGTACACTATTTCCAAAGGCCTGCTTCAGCCCCTGACTGTGTCAAGCCTTTACCACCCAATGGTGGGTTTTCGTGACTGGAGAAATTATTTTCAGAGACGTCTAGAAAACTAGTAAATGAAGGGTCAAGGAAAGAATCTATTTATTCTGTATCTAGTTCATTCATCCTACACATATTTAGAGCGTCTGTAGGGCACTGCTGTAGCTTCAAAACTCTGTTATAACTTTTCTATGGATCTCCTGTGATGCAAGAGAGGGGTTGGTTAGGAGCAATCAGCAATGGATATTAGCAGTATCAGCAATGGATGTTAGCAGTATAGAGCCCCTGAGCTGGACTCCCCACCCCGGACCCGCCCCGGTCCCGCCCCGGTCCCGCCCCCTCCAGGGACCGCCCAGGCTCCGCCCAGTCTCAGTCCCCGTCAGGCCTCGCCCCGTCTCCGCCCCCAGCAAGCCCCGCCCCTCCTGCCTTCCGGGGCGGGGCGCGGCTCCTAGGCCGGTGCTGGCCCTCCGGGCGGGCACGCTGCAGCCCCCAAAGCATCTCGGTGTGCCCGAAGCAAAGTCCCTGGGAGAACCCGGGATCCTCCCTAGCGCGCTCAGCGGCCGCCACCCGGCCTCAAGGCCCGCTTTGCCACTGATCGGCGCCGCCAGAGGTTGTTGCCTGCTGCCACCGCCAAGGAGACCTCCACCCCCGCGCGTCCTGAGAGACGGCGCCTACGCCGGCTCTGGCGGTGGGGACCGGCGGGGCGGAGCAGCGAGGTAAGGCGGGGACGGGCAGGCGAGAGGGTCGCGGGCGCCCGCCGGACCGGGGAGCAAGGCCGCCCGCTGCTGCCTCTTCCCGGAATCGCCTTACGGTTTCTCCTGCACGGCGGAACCCCGCCTCCTCCCGCCTCCTCTCCTGGGTCTGGGCTTCTGGCTCTGCCCCGCGCCGCTCCCGGTGCAGCCCCGGGGATCCCCTGACCCCCTCCAGGCCCTGAGCACCCACGGAAGCCCCACGCAGCACTCGCGGGCCCCGGGGTGCTCCATTCATCCCCTTGCTGGAAGCCCCTGGTTTTTGCACCTAGCCCTGAGCACACACACCGCCCCCCCCCAAGCCTCCCAGTGACCCCGCCGTCTCACCAACGGTGCCTGGGACACCTGGGCACTGCGAGATGTGAGCGGTGGTGAGGTTTGAGGGTGCGATTCGCCACCTTGCAAAACTGGGTTACCGCTCTGGGTCTCTGAGTCGGGGCCTCGGACGGTCCGCCACGGTCTCAGTAGAGAAGCCCCGCTACTGAGCATCCCTTGTTCCTATGTGGGAGAGAGGTCACGGAGGACAGCCCGAGCAGGCGTCTTTTAGATCCACAGCTTGGAAGCTGGGGTTGAGTGGCTGAGGGGACAGAGGAGTGAGCTCCTCTCAGGGCCAAGATGAGACAGTGAAAAAGATATCTATACTGGAAGATGCTCGTAGTTTGCGTTTCTACAGAGAGCAAACCAGTGGCGTGCCGTAGCGAGGTGGTGCCCCTTACCCCATTTGTTTGGCTAGCGATGGTTTCATCGAAAGCTCTGGATAGCCCACCTTCTTTTGTGTTGTAATGTTTGTTTGTTGTTCTCTTTTTGTTTGGCAGGAGGCCTTAGAAGGGAATTGCTTTGAGAGACAGGTCGGAGACTGCTGCCCCTCAAGTCCTGCCTGACCATCTGCCCCCAAGTCAGGTCAGGACACAGGGGCTTAAAATCCCACGATGTCCTTGTCCCTTGCCTGGCCAGTCACCTGTTCATGCGTGGTGGGGGTGGGAAGATCCGAGGCCATGCCAGGGTCTGCTGTAAGGAAAACAGCTCATAAATGTCACGAGCCATTCGGGCCTGCTTGATAAGCGATCTCTGTCTCAGGAAGTGGCTTGAACTGTTAGCTGGTATTGTTTACAAGTTGTTCTTCGATTTTAAATCATCAAAAGTCTGTATGACTCTTTTCCTGGTCTTTAAACTTTCTCCTGCATTTATTTAAAAATTAAAGAAAATCTGCCAGGGTTTTGATTTTTATTTGATAAATGGTGACTTGTCTTTAAAAAAAAAAAAACTAACTAGAAAGACCATAGCCCAAGAGGAAGTCTCTTAGAAGTGAAACTTGTATTAAAATATACATTCCATCACTCGCACTTGCCCACACACAGCTACACTGGACTCATTTTCCTGTTACCTTTACAAACCTTCAGACTATTGAAATCAATGACAGGTACCTTCTTTGATGATCACCCTTCATATTTTACCAAGACTAGCCCCCAAATTAAAGTGCCGTGGATGATAAGGTACACTTTTATTGTGTATAACCAAGTAAAGAAAAGCACTGTCAGTCACAGTGTGACATGCCCCTGAACAAAGCATTCTGATTTTGACAATGCTCAAATGTGAGCAGGAAAAACACATTTTTTCATGTATGAACTATCAGCCAGCTAGTGCACAGCTTGGCATCGTATCAGCTCTCCTTATCTGCAGTCCCACATCTGTAGGTTCGGCCAACTGTCTGGACTGAACGCATCCAAATTTTTCTCCTTGTCATTTATCCTCTAAATGACAGCAATTCACATTGCACAAGACATCATAAGTAATCCAGAGATGACAGAGTGCACAGGGAAGACACGCATAGCTTCTCTGCAAATCCCTTTTATACAGAGTCTGCGCACCATGAATTTTGGCATTTGAGGAATCAGTGTCCTTCTCCCTGAGGGCTCCTTCTTCCCTGAAACTACCAGTGTGCCATTCAGGGAGGAATAAAGGAAAAGGCATTACTTGGTAGAGAGTAGCTGGCAGCCTGGACAGCATTGAGACATAGAGAAGAAAGAGCGAAAGAAGAAAGCAAAAAGGTCTCTCAATGGGAAGCACATAGTTGAAAAGGTCCCCTGGAGACTGGAGCTGGTGCTATCCACACACACCTATACTGATTGTCCGTGTAGTTTTGACTTCAAAGATCTCATCGGATCCTTTGATTCTGCAACCCCAACTCTAAACTTTGTATTTAGTTCTCTAAACTCTCTAAACTTTGTGTTTAGTTTTTGTTTGCTTCTTTATTTAATTGTGAGGTTTAACAACAGCTACTATATATATATATATATATAAATTTTAGCATACCTCAAAACTAGAAACTGTAATGGCAAGTCAACAGAAATCTTAAAAGTCTCTCTAAGCAGTGGGAAAGAAGTAAACAAAGGCTAGCCCTTTTGGCAAGAGCAGCAGCAGCGGCCCTTTGTGCTGGGCAGAAGGGAGTGAGGTGGGGGTAGGAGAAGGACCCAGAGCCCCCATGGATCATGCCACCGCGCCACTCCCCTAGAGCAGTGGAGCCAGCATGCAGAACACTTCCTTCGTGTCTGGGAGAAGCAGGACCCCGTGTTCTGACCAAAAGCAAGCTCTCTTGCCCTCTCCCCACCACCCCCCATCCCAGTGCCAGCGTCTAGAGCAGCTGCCCAGCTGTGCCCACTTTCCCAACCACTCTGGAATCTGGAGGAGTAGTCAAGTGAAAAGGAAGTCCAGATTTCCCTCTGCCGTGTTGCCTTGGGAGATGGTAAAAACCCTCCAAGCACAGCAGTGGGGTGTGGTATGAGAAGCAAGGGAAGGAACAACATAGCTTACAAAGGGTTCTACTTTTTTAAAAAAAGTTATATATGTATATATAATATACCTTACAACAACTTGGGTAAAATTTGGATTCAATAAAACAAACTCAAAAATGAAAAAAAAAAATTTAAATGAACTTAGACTGAGGGCATAAGGGAATAAATTGAAGACTGTACAAACACAATTACAGAAGAAATAAAAGGAAAGAACAGAAAAAAATACTCCTGGATGCAAAAATATTTGAATAGTGGAAAGGCTTGATTTAACTCCAAGAAGATGAAAGAGACAAAGATTAATTCAGTTTGAAAGAATCTGATGTAGAAGATCGCGCAATCCAGCATTTAGGATCTTTGGAATCTCTGATATAGAAAAACCAACAGAGGTGACAAAAATGCAAATAAAAATGGGACGAAAGAAATCGCATTGAATTGAAGGAAAACTTCTGTGGTCCCAGAGACCATGTGGTGTTCCAGGAAAATTTCCATGGAAATACTCCTCACTAAGATATCTTATGCGGTTTTGATTCAAAGGAGAAACCACTTTGGAATCCAGGAAGAAAAATAAAAGGGGAAAAAAAAAAAGTCGAGCTGGCCTCAGACTTGCCAGTGTAACACTGAATAGCAGAACCTAATAATTCTGAAGAGAAATCTCCAAGGGAAAGAAACTTCCCTAAGGCAGTGGTGGAGAATGAACCTAGGGCACACGAGTTATTGTGTTTTTCTTTTAAGACAAAACGTGTTAATGCAGAGTTCTTTTTTCTAAACTAAACCTCAGTATTCAGGTTTAATTGCAGTGCTGGAACTTTGCGGTAAATGAGTGGGTTTGGGGTTGCAGTTTGGCACTGGGTTCGCCATGACTGCCCTAAGGGGTACTTTGTCTGAGGCAGTGACAGAATTTCTCATATATTGGGCTCAGTGGTAGAGCACATGCCTAGCATGCACAAAACTTGGGTTCAGTCTCCAGCAGTGCAAAAAAAGACAGACTTTTTCACATGTGTAGAACAGAATTCTGAAGCCATGAGCCCTATTAAAAATCCAAATAATAGGAAATTAAGAGATAAAGAACTCAGGGGTAGAGAAATGGCAATGAAAATTGTTTGTATTTATGGTATTTAAATGTAGAAATAATATAAAACATCTTGTAGAAATAATGCAAGAAAGTGTGGGTAGAGAGGGGCGTGGTGCAGCGTACTGTAATCCCAGCATTTGGGAGGGAGGCTGAGGCAGAAAGATCACTGAAAGTTCAAGGCCAGCTGGGACAACATAGTGAGGGAAAAAAAAGAAAGACAGAAAGAAAGAAATTATGGGTAAATAGAATATAATTGTTATAAATACAGACAAAACCATATATAGCTATGAAATAAGGAAGTAGAAGAAAAGGAAAGGAAATATGAGAATGCAATGTTGCCATCTTTCAAAGCATAGATCAATAAATATGGTTTAAAATTAAAAGGACCTGTGAATGTAGAATACTCCAGCTGTCAAGTGAATGGAAGCAGGAGGCAGCAACCAGAGACTGAGGCTGTGGGAAGAACAGATTTTTATTTCCTCGCTACAGGCAGGCTGACATCAGAGTGATACTAGCAGCTACCTGGAGGGGGAATTGAGTATACAGAGTTTAGAGTTGGGGTCGCAGTATCAAAGGATCCAATGAGATCTTTGAAGTCAAAACTACACGGACAATCAGTCTAGGTGTGTGTGGATAGAACCGGCTTGAAGACAGGAAGATTTTAGTTCCGGTCCTAAACGTCTTTATTGCCCCTACTTCCGGTTTACCAGGGGCAACCTGTTGTTTCCCATTGTTTACAAGGGGGGAGACAAAGGGTCGCTTAGGTGTCTCTCTCAGGTAGGGCCTGACACCAACTTCCTAAAGTCTTTCATAAAACTTTTGTTAAAACCTGACAGAGATTATAGGAAATTATTCTTTCTTATGGACAAAAAATATTAAATTCACAGTTGCTTCAGATTTACTTTAATTTTTTAAGTAGAATTAAATTTAAACAGAAACAGTGTATGTGCACAGCATGTGTTTATGAATATAGAGAGATCTGTGGGCTCATGTTCTTTTTTTTTCTTTTTTTTTTCTTTTTTTTTTTTTTTTTGAGACAGAGTCTTGTTATATAGTCCAGGCTGGCTTTAAACTCACTATGGAGCCCAAACTGGCCTCAAACTCACAGCAATTGTCCTACCTCAGCTTCCTGAGTGCTGGCATTATAGGCGTACACCACTACGCCCGGCATGTTTACTTAATATTAGTGATGATAGCATCTGGATGTTGAGATTTGTACTTTTATACATTATTTTCATTTTTTTTAATGAGCTTGTTGAATTTTTACAGAAACAAGAAAGATGTGTGCAAAATAAACCAGAAACAAATCTACCAAAGTGTTAATGATTGATGCTGATGGTGGAAATAAGGATGATTGTTGCTTTTATTTTTTGCACTCTTTGCTATTTTGCTTTTCATTCTGGAAAAGTTGTGTGGTTTGATTTGCATCATATTTCCAAGTTCAGTTCATTCATTATTCATGGTCCACTTGGTGATGCAGCAGGCATTGGGCTGTGCTGAGCTACCAGGCAATGCCAGGGAGCTTCTCTGCCGGTGTGAGCCGGCTGGCCCCAGCCAAAGGGTAGCAGTAGTCCATGGGGCAGAGAGTCCATCCTGCTGGGGGAAGCATCCACACGCGAGCCGAGGTGCCCACCTGGCCCGTGTGCCATTCTCCTAGCAGACAGCGCCAATGAACCAGATTAAAGGTAAAAGTATTAGAAATTTGAAAATCGCGTCAGGAGAGCATTAAGCCAAATGTGGAACTTTCTACATGCGGGGCTCTTGCGGACAGATGGCCCTGGCTTCAGAGATGAGACACACAGTGCCGTGTTTTAGGGACACTGAACTATTTGTAGTCAGGACAATGTTAAGGAGCAAGACTGGCATCCAAGCAAGACTGGAAATTAGATTTTGCAAACATGAATCTGATTATTAGACAACTGATTCCAAGTGGAGTATGGGTCACCAGGAGCAAAGCAAGGGGAGGAGGGCCAGAGGGACATTTTGGTTTCTTTTTTTCTTTTTTTTTTTTTTTGCTTTTTTGAGACAAGGACTGT